GTTTGAGGATGGACACTGACATGGAAAGCATAGGTGGAAATCTCCAGGTATGTCACAATTCAATTCAATTTTGATTCATGTCAAGATGTGATTATAAAACGATTCTCAGTGCATCTTGATTTTTTAATTCTAAAGCCTACATAATGAGTACCATTAGCTTAGTTGAGTTTGAATATAGAAAAAAGGAAACTACATTTTATTTGATATTTGTGTGCCACATATGCTATACAGTATAGCTGAATGTTTATTTTCCATCAGACATGTTGAGTATAGATGAAACAATTCATTTTGAAAAAAGACAGGAGCTTAGAACTCCACAGAGCACTGCGCAGAATGAGATATCCCAGCCACTTCATAAGTTTCACAGTTTTTTTTCGCCACAAAATCATAAACACACATATGTAACAGTGGTTAGTATAAAAACACTTCTAGGCCATTGCTAACCTTTGTTAGTGCTTTAATTTCAATGTTATGTTAGCACTAAGCCAACGATGCTGTGCTTTGATCTACCCTGGCTGGTTTTAATACTAGCTATAGCAGTCTTAGCCTAAACGTGGACATCAGACGCTCAGGTAACAGTAAATTCTTAAACTTGAGGCCAAACTCTGAATATTACTGGACTAGACTGTTAGCCTGTTCGCAATTTTGCAAAAATAAAACTGTTCTTACTAAAGATCATTTTTACTAAGGTTTTAGGCCATTTATTCATTATTATGTCACCAATATTGTTTTATTTGTGATTTGCAAAAATGCATACATTAGTAAGATTCTACCTTTTTCCTCCTCCAAGCCAGGCTGAGCCAAAGTATCCTACTTTATGTCTACTGTCTGTGTCTAATGTCTCTGGATGCACGTTGCTAAATCTCAGAATAAATGATTTTTTCTACCCCTAGCGGAAAGAAGGACACAGAGTGAGTGAGAGCGGTTAGCATGTAGCTTAGCCATCTACCACTGTGCCTCATCCTGGGAACAGCTTGACATGCTGGCTATTAAAGCCTTAATTACATTCTGGGAGCTTAGCAAAACACACACACACGCGGTTCAACATCAGACAGAAAGCATCCACTCACACACTCCTCTCCTGAAGGGACCTTCACACTCTTTCCCTCATTCCCACAGCTCGGAGGAACCACTGGGAAAACGAGCTGCAGTGGAGTTTGTGTGTGTGTTTTGTGGATGAAGGAGGTGACAAGGGTTGTTTCTCTCAGATGGAGAAATCACAGCACTAGTGTCTCCTGGGCTGTGGGGAGGCGGCCTAATTCCCAGAGCCTATCAAAGCCCAGCAAACAAAGGGGAGGGGCACAGGTACAAGGGAGGAAATGCAATCAGGATGTTGCGATGTTTCAAAGGAAAAGAAGGGGGGACTGATCTCAGTAAGGCTGCCACCTCCAGCACTGTTCATTTGACTGACACACACATACATATGTCTCTGTGTAGACTCATTTAAATCTCTACATCTTCCACACACACACACACACATACACACACATGCACACACACACACACATCATATAGAACACACACACACACACACACATCATATAGAACACACACACACACACATCATATAGAACACACACACACACACATCATATAGAACACACACACACACACATACACACACATGCACACACACACACACATCATATAGAACACACACACACACACACACACACACACACATCATATAGAACACACACACACACATCATATAGAACACACACACACACACACACACATCATATAGAACACACACACACACATCATATAGCATACACACATCATATAGACTGTAAATGACAGCTAAACATTACTGGTTATCAAATATTCCATTATATAATGAGGCATAAAACGTCACTATTAATTTATCAAATCTACCAATTATTTTCACGATTATTCAAGAAATCCGAGTTTTTGGATGCAAAGCAGCTCAAAGAACTGGCTTGCAACTCAATAATCCAATCATAATCAGATTTCTGCAGTTATCTAATCATTCAAATGGTCATGTAAACAACGTACTCCAATCTAGAAATCCGATTAAGAAATCCGATAAAGAGAGTTGGATTTTAACTCAGTAATCAGATTTCTCAGTGCATGTAAACTCTTACTCGGATTTCTTTTGGATTTCTTAGTCTGCGCATGAGTGAAACAGACTGCTGTATCGGAAATAGGCAAGTAGCGCTGCTGCAAGATGGCAGCAAAACACTTTTGGAGCGACACTGAAACCAACTCATTCTCAACGAAATGAAGGATTTAAATATTCTTCATCTTCTAGATGATGTATGTACATTTTTTCAGGTAAAGTGGCGCAATGTTTTTAAAAAAAGCCGCAGCATGAAGTTTGAGTTTTACATCACGGTTACGTCACGTCTTCTTCTGTGAGTTTATTGGCTCATTGCAAAGCAGAAATCTGATTACTGCCTGAATCATGTAGACCTTGAGTTTCCCCATTATCTGATTAGTCAAGTGCATGTTGATCGGATTACTGACGAAATCTGATTTTCTGCAGTTATCAAATTATTAAGTGCATGTAAACGGACTCAATGTTTCTTCTGAAATCAAGGGTATTAAGAGGGAGTTTGTCTCCCCTTTACTGCCATAACAGTATCAGCATCTATACTTCTTTACACCATTTGTTGTTACTGTGAGGATTTGATAGCACGCACAAGAGCATTATTGAGGTATTGATGTTGGATGATTAATTCTGGATCACAGACGCCACCCCAACTCATCCAAAAGATATTAGACGGAGCTTTGTCACTCCAGAGAATGCAGTTCCACTGCTCCATAGCCCAATGCTTTGGGGCTTTAAACCCCTCTAGCTGATGTTTGGCGTTGGCCATCTCAGGCCTTTCTATGGAAATTATACAAGTGGTGAGTGTGTAATTGAATACCTGCAATGGGTTCAGTTGCTGAATTCAGTGATTAGAAGAGCTGTCTGGATACCTTTGCAGATATTAGGCAGGTTTCCCAGAGAGCAATAAAGTCTATTTCTGGACTAAATGGACAGAAATCTCATGCCTGGAGATTCTTTATCAAAAGGGCAATACAGCACAGGATCAGGATTAATTCCTGACTGGGAAACCAACCTATAGAGTATTCTGAGGCAGTTTGAGACTAGGGAACTCATTATTACTTACTTGTACAGTTTTTTAGACGTCCATAAGAGAGCAGTAGGAGAACTTAAAATATGCATGATCATGCAAATTGCCAACTAATGACTGCTGAATCATTGAGAAGGTTAATTTTAATCAATATACTTTGAGTAAGTGAGTTTAATCAAGCAATCATGACAGCCCTAATAGAGGAAATTTGTTCTACACTTGCACCAACAAGGCAAAAAGGCAGAGTAACAGGCAGATGAATGATTAAGCAAATAAAAATAGCAGAAATAATAAAGAACACAAAAAAATGGGAAAAATCAAAGGATAAATGATTAGAACAAAAAAAAGATTTTAAAAAAGGAAAAGAAAAAGGGTGAGAGAGAGACAGAGAAAACAAAAGGGAGGGAAAGACAAAAAAACAGAAAAAAAGACAGAAAAGAGAAAGTAAGAGAATGGTGGATACAAGAAAGAAAGAAAGAAAGATGAGGAGAGAGACAGAGAAAGGTTTGGGGTTAAATAGAATAAAAAAAGAGCGAGTGAGCGCGAAAGAGAGAGATGGATAGATCAGCAACACACCACATATTTTGAAACGTTAATAAGTCATTCATCGCATTACAGTAAGCAAAGTCCACTTTTACACATGCTCTAATAAGACTCTTCAGCATCAGGTCAGGGTCTGTAAGACCTTGTCCCCCCATTTTGTTCCTCCTCGTTAGCCATATGGCCAGTTTGGCTTGACCAAAAAGACAACATTTGGCCAACTGTGAAAAAGTGTATTTTGGCCCCAGTATGAATAGTCCATAAGTGAAAGTCATGTCGAGAGAGAGAGGGAGGGAGGGGGAAAGAGACAGAGAGACAGAAAAGAGATACAGAAGGAGAAAAAGAGAGAGAAAGAGGGAAAGAAACAGAGAAAAAGAAAAAGAAAGAAAGAAAGAAAGAAAAAGAAAGAAAGAAATATGCCAGAGAGAGAGAGAGAGAGAGAGAGAGAGAGAGAGAGAAAGTAGGAGATAGAAAAAAACAGAAGAGACAGAAAAAGAAAGAAGTAGAGAGGGAGACAGAGAGAGCAAGAGAAGGAAAAAGACAGAAAAATTGAGGGAATGAGAGAATGAATAGTGAGAGAAATAGAGAGAAAGACAGAAAAGAGATACAGAAGGAAAAAGAGAGGGAGAGACACAGAAAGAAAGAAAGAAAGAAAGAAAGACAGAAAGAAAGAAAGACAGAAAGAAAGCGAGAGAAATATAGAGACAGCTAAATATAATACAGCCTACAGATCTCAAACATAGCACAGGCCAATTTGGCTGCACCGGAAATGCCATGATTGTTTTTCCTCCGGCTGTGCCAAGTCCCGAAAAACAGACGCGAAGCTACGGATTTCTGAGCGTTAACATTGCTTAATGCAGTGCATCCTCAGAGATGAAAAAGGCACTTTGGCCTCCGCTGAGAGACAGAGAGAGAGAGAGAGAGAGAGAGACGAAGAGAGCAAATGCAATCAACAGTGAATGACAATGTATCATCCTAAGTGGCAGTGTACTTAGCTGTGAGAATAAGAGCACATAAGGCCATACCTGAACAGACAAATCTCCTCTTAGGGGATTAGAGTGGCCAATCAATCTTATAAAAAACTAAAAAAGTTCATAATCAAAGCTTCAGCATGCTGATCCAGACACTGTCACTGTTTATCACATGTTATTGACTGTCGCTATGATTAAGTCCATGCTCAGGATCATGAGACCAGAGTCTAGACCACGCCAACGCATCAGTCATGCAAGTTCACTGCTACTGTCCATGCATAGAAGGTACAGCTGTATTAATGTTTTTCTGTGATGCATGGTGTTTTGTTTTGTGGATGACCTTGTAGCACAGCAGGCAATAAAATATGAGCCCACAAGTCGCATTCAAGGCTCACTCTAATAATAAAGCTCACAGGAATTCTTTCTGATTTCCCTCATATATTGCAAAATATGTCAAACCCAGAGAGAAGGTTATGAGAGGAATATCAAGGTGCTTCATTTTGGCAAGTCTACAGTGCACATTAGCCAGTGAATCACCACCTGAAACTACTGAAATCACAGCTCAGGTTTTGAAGAATGAGTATATGTTTTAATACCAGAGATACACCAATGCAGCTTTTTACAGCTGATTCTGATTCTGAATGATATTTAAATGTAGCATACAGGTCCAGCAAGTGGATACATTATCATTTGTGTCCATCTAAATCAACTAAGGCTAAAGAAAATATTGATCTATTATTGAAACACAGAATACAATGTTAAAAATAATACAGTAGTGCAGTGTGACTCATGTTCATGTTACATAAAGTAAACTTTAGTACAGTTTACATCAGCCATGTCAAACTGGGGACCTTTGGGGCCAAAGGACTGCGGATATTAGTGTTTACCCTCATCTAACGCTCTGAATTCAGGTTATGATGGCCATGCTAATTAGTTACTGAGTTGAATCAGGTGTGTTTAATGAGGCAGCGTACTAAAGTCTGCAGTTTTTTGGCCCACAAGGACTGGAGCCTGACACATGTGGTTTAGTCTATTGAGATATCGTCTCTGTCATCAAAACCTTTTTATTGTTTTATACCTTTTGAAAATGCTGGCTGCCCTTTACACAGTGAGAGTATTTTCATGTTGAATGGACCAATAGAAATGATGTTGTGGCATTAACATACATTACATTCTCCCCTGAAGGGGCATTCCAGCCTAAAACTAGCATTTAACATGTCATTTGTCAAGATATGTAATATTCTGTAGTGCGAGAATGCATCCCTCAGCCTAATCAGTTTAACAGAACTCATGATTTTGTATTCTGTCACTACAACACCCAGCATGCTTTACACAAACATGTTATACAACCACTGAGAATCCCCAGACATGATATTTGGATTTTTAGCAGTAAGCTATATGTTCACTTTATGGCTTCTTTCTGCATTTGCACCAGCTAGCAGGGAAAAACTATAAATACATTTTCAAATTCAAGTATCCACCCCAGAAAAACAGCTGTAATTTTTCAAAATTACACCTTCAAGATACATCATCAGAAGGGGGTTTTCCTAGTCTTTAAACTGGAAAACGTTACTCTAGAACACGTGTCAAGCTCCAGTCCTTGCGGGCCAAAACACTGCAAACTTATGCACATTGCTTCAATAAACACACCTGATTCAGGTCAACAGCTAATTAGCTAGGCCTTCATGAACAGAATTCAGAGCGTTAGACAGGGTAAAGGCTAATATCCACAGCACTTTGGCCCAGAAGGTTCCCAGTTTGACATGCCTGCTTTAGAGGCTCATGTGGAACTTTGAAGACATTTTAGAGATGTTGTGTTTTGTATATAGCGCTGCTGTCAGAACAAAACCTCTCATCTCCATTTTCCTTATTTTTCAGTTTTTGACATTATTTGAAAATGCCTGATGCCTTTTACATTGTGTGTAAATTTCAGGATGAATGGGCCAAAAGAAATGATCCAAAATTACTTGGAAAAAAAGGTACTGGTACTATTGACTTACATTAAAGTAAAGTATGTTTTTTCCATCTCCTGTAAAGTTCTCATTTTGGAGATACAAGGTTTTGTTCTGACAACAGCGATATGTTGTCACTGTCCACAGAAAATCACACATCTCCAAAATAGTAACTTTACAGGAGAAGGTAAAAAGTTCCTAACTCTGAATGTCAGTTAATGGAAAGAGATTTTATTTCAAGTAATTTTGAGCATTTCTAGTGGTTTAATGACATAATGTGTGTGCATGTGTGTGTGTGTGTACATATATATATATATATCTGCAGTCAGAAAAAACTCCAAAATTCTATATTTATATGAGGAGGAAAAAACACACTTATACACTTATATACATACTGTATTTAATATAGTGGACCCAGATTAGTTTTCCAAGTATATCTGGAATCTGTATCTGTTGGTCTGTTTTCAGATTATGTTAAAAAATATGGCAGTATGCAAAACACTATGGACCACAATTTCAGTTCCCCCATAGGACAATAAATGCTGAAAATGGAACAAATGGAATGAAGAAAAAGTGGTCAGTCACCTGCCACCTGCATGAGTATGGAGCCCGTGCTGTGGCCCTCCACATTAACAAAGCAGGTGTAGATCCCGTCATCTACCACGCGGACCCTCTTTAGCAGCAGGGAGGCATTTCCGGATGCTAACTGCCCATGGAACAGACTGGTTCTGTTAGCAAACCGCTTTTCCTGGTTAGTCAACTGGTCCTGCTGTTCCAAGTAACTGTGCACGGGCGGCTGAGTGTCTGCCAGCTGCCAGATCACAGTCAGCTGTGACAGGTTAAAGGTCGAGACCCCGGAGAAGGTGCAGTTGAGGATAGTGTCGGTTCCGAACAGCACCACCATTGGGGAGTCTGCGACATGCACTTCCAGAGCTAGATAGGGAGAGAGAGAGAGAGACAGTGAAATTTTAATGAGGCTAATAAGCATCAAGGCCTTGCTTCCACAGACAGACAGGCCAGTGATGATCTGTATTGTCATCATGAAGAATCTTCTGATGTCCTGCATTATCAACACGAAGAATTATCAAACATGTTGTTTGTAGTTAGGCTTTGATAAATCAGCATCAGTTCTTCTATAGAATGATGTGAAATTCCCAATTAGTTCTTTTGTAAGCAAACATCTAAGGCATGTTAAATCCAAACAGACAGGCAGGGTCATTTAAATCACACACACATCCACTCTCCTTTACTGATACCATCCAATAACTACATCATCTTTTACTAAACTGTTGGTGGAATAAGTGTTGTATGAATCATTGAAAGCTCAATAATTTAAAGGGCTCATATCCTACATTTTTATTGTTTTTTATCTTTTAACCCTATGGTCCACTTCTAACATTTGTTTGGTTTTATGTTGCAAAAACGGTCATAATTCTTTTTTACAAGACCGTTTTCCACCCTCTGTTTATTCCCTAGAGTTAGTGACCGTTTTTGTTTCTAGGCTTTTAGGACTAATATAATAAACGACCTCTGTTCTGATTGGCTGTTCTGTATTGTGCCTCATTCAATAAGCACTCAGAGTTGAAACACTCCTTATAACTCCAGTGAGTATGGGCGGGACTAAACAATCATGGACTGCATAGGTGAATATTGTTATGTCCTATGATGTATTTGTAATGTCATCTAAACCTATGAATTGCAACTAGTCATATGCAAAGGTTTGAACACCCCAGGTCAAATGTCATGTTTCGTTGAAGTGAGAATAAGTTAAAAATCTAAAGCAAATCCTCTACAGTGAACACACTTAAATATGCTATTGTCTGCTATTTTAGCACACAATTTCTATTTAAACTATAAAACTATAAAATATAAAACTATTAAAATATAAAATGTGTCATAACTTTGCAAAAGTCACATTTGTACAGGATTTTTTTCCCTCTAACATGTTTAACTCATCAAATAAACAGTACTTGGGCATTATAGTGTGCAGAAGTGTGGCCCATATCATAGAAAACTCAAGTTTTTATAATAAAAAGTTAGAAGTAGTATGTAAACACTCTGCAGTCCACTCAGTCCCTATAAGAAAGCTAGTCTCTCATTCTCACTCATTGTTTTTTGCCATGTCATAAAACCAACATATTTACATATATGTGCCTATTCAGCCTACAGCAGTTCAGCTCCACTCATTCACAATTAAGCAATGAGAAGTGTAGATGCAGTGATCATTTATACATCTCTTAAATGCAGAATAAACATTTTAATGATGAAAATGAATAAAAAAAACATTATGGAAATGATTAAATATATATATATATATATATATTTATATATATAATATATATATATATATATATATATATATTATATATTATATTATTATTTTATATATAATCATATACTTATATAAACACATCAAAGTGAAATCCCCTTAAACATAGCATGAATAAGTGTCAACAGGTCTTACAAAGCTCTGAAAAAATATGGAGCATATACATTTTTTTTTAAGCTTACACTATATGTATTGGCATGGTCTTCATATTTTTATATATTTATATGGCGGCACTAGAAGTTGAAAACGAGCTATATACTGCTATATACAGCAATGACACGATGAAGTACAATGCAAGATGTCATTAGCAAGAAGTCTTAGCATTAGCATTAGCAAGTGCCAAACAAACCAAAAACCAATGAAAATGTGTGATTTTAATAAGCTTATGTAGAAGAGTTTTGCTCAGACCACTGACTGTTAGCCATGAGCTGTAGAGAAATCATTCAGCACTCATCTTTTCTGCTGAAGTCACTTTTTTAACCAAAGACTTCTGGCAATCACTTAAATAATGTGAATGAGATGAGATTTCATTCTAAGTCATGTTCATTCATATCATCATGAAATTTTGACAAAAAAGACCAAAAACATACAGTGAAGATATATGAGTCTTATAGGCTGTGGTAACAAAAAAGCCTGTTGGAAAATGGTCATGTAAAATTAATTATGACACTCACATTACAAATGGGCCTCAAAAAAATAAAAAAAAACAAAGGTAGGGTTGATGTATTCGGCACTCTGTAACAATTTGAACACTTTGTGTTCAACTCAGTAAGCATTTATTTGTTTTTTGTGTTTATGTATTGTTTCCTCCTAGTGTCACTTTGGCATTGAGCACTGAGACACATATTTTCATAGTATAACTATGTAAACCACTTTTTTTCCAAATTTCATTTTGTACAACACCTTTACACTGTGTAAACACTTCATTATGAATGGACCAAAATCTTATATATTTTTGGAAAGTAATATTTTCACACACTGTTTCTATCACTTTAAGAGATGTGAAGAACATTTTTTATTTCTTCTATAAAGTTCCAATTTCAGAGATAACCTACAATGTTTTATGACAGCAATGATACGCTACAAAAGACTTGAATAAACCCTCTCCTATAACACTCCACTGGTCACCGCTATCAGTGTCAGATCTCCAAACAAAACAGAGAGGACATAAAGCCTCAGGCCAGGCAGTCAGCAGAGCAACAGGGCCACGTGATGTGTGAGCTACGTAAGATTTAAAGAAGTGCAGACTTCAAAAAACATGTTTATAACGCCACACTCAGCCATGTGGCATGTAGATCAAGAGTGAACAGGGTTTAATCAGTGAAATGAAACATTTTAAAAAAAGAGAAGGTGGATCGAGAGAAGAGAAGAGAAGAGAAGAGAAGAGAAGAGAAGAGAAGGTTTTTCCTTGATTTTAGAAAGGCTGGAGTGAGAATCTGATGTACTATGTAAACACTGTGAAGTTTTCTAATGTATCATTTACATCCCCATATATATATATATAAACATAGTTGTGATGTCACAACCATGAATGAATTTGCATATGATTATGTATTCAGTCTACATCAGTTTAGCCCAGCACATTCATCTTGAAGTGATATGGAGTGTTGTTTCTGCAGAGTTTGAGTGGAAGAAGTGGGGAAAGTCACTGTCAGGAACATTGTAGCCTTCTAAAAACCCACACATCCAAAGGGACAGGTCAAATGTTTTTGTTTTGCTCTTTTTTTCTGATATCCCTGATGATTTCAGTCTGAACTTAACAGTTTATTCAGGCTAGAATGCTTTTTGACTCAGGGGGCAGCCATTAGAATAGACAGTGTGAATGTGCCCTAATTTGGCCCAAATGAACCAAACAAGAGAACAGTAATTTGAGGACAGGTCTTGATCCACTTCCAATAAACCCTTTAGTTCAGTTCACTGTGAATGGAAACATATTTTATGGTGGTCCACATCAAATGAGGGAATTCGACAACCGAATACGCTTTCCTCTTCTTCTGGCAGCACACCAGCACTGTACTGTCTGCATAATCCACCCGCTTTAACATCCGACTCTTGACAGACACTCATATCGTCTTTCCAGCAAGAGCTGCTGCTAATAGCGGCAGATGAGCAATAAAAGAAAGACAACGATTTTGGCACACGGATTGTCATTTCTGGCCAGGCATTAGCGACTTGGTTTGTCAGTTTGAGTTTAACCAATCATGCAAAAAGCAAATACAGAGTATTATTATTGCTGTGATTGTGATATACATAGACCATAAGCATCTATTTTCTGTTTTTCTATTTTCATAGTGTGGCAATCATGAAAGTAACAGACCGCTTATATCCCTGCCAAATTCCTGACCAATCAACAAATATCCATGTTTACAATATGCTGCACTTTAGTGTGAAACCAACAGAACCAAATGAGAAAAAAAAAAACTCCCAAAATCTCAAATTGTGGTGCAGACATTAGCAAACAAGTTAGGTGTGAAAACAGCTTAAGAGATGTTAGAAAAACAAAACAAAAAAAAAAGATACGCACAAATATTCCAAGTGGACTTGAAGAAGAAAACTAAACAAATAAAATACAACAAACGTGAAATACTGGACTTTCCTTTATCTCTAGACAGCCTTTCCTCTCTGAGTGTGATACTGTATGCTGTCTGTCCTTCTCTCACCCCGGCCGATGGAGCGGTAGTTGAAAGTGTTTGGCGGCGGTTTGTGTAATAGCGTTTTGGAGGTGGACTGCTAGCTCAGTGTGTCTGCAGGAACAGAGCGCGGTGGGTGTGCGGAGTGGGTCTTGGTGGGAGAAGAGCTTTTGACGTCACGGAAAGTTGAGCTTGAGGAATGCTCCGCACTTCACATGGGGCTGCAGCAGCAGGACACGCTCTCACACTGATTACTGATGCTTCAATCAACTACAATCTGTTTCCATATGGGAGGCAGACCTGGGCCTGACTGGGAGCCCGGCTGTGTGTGTGTGTGTGTGTGTGTGTGTGTGTAAGAACAACTCAGATTCAAGTGTTCTTACAAACAAAAGGATCTTGAGCTTTGGCTCATGTTATGTACTAAAATGTAAACAAACAGCACAGCTATGTCTCACTGACTAACTTATATACTGAGCTGACAAGAAACATCTAACTTGTATGTACATTCAGTGGCCATTTTATCAGAAATACCTCCACCTCTATCAATGGAAAAGGGCCACCACAGGACCACCACAAAGACCAGATATAATTTGGCAAATTAGGCTAAGCAGCATTGCTGGAGTTTTTATATCACTCACTGTCACTGCTGGGTTGAGAATAGTCTGACAACCAAAAATATCCAGCCAACAGTGGTCCTGTGGTCAGAAACTGACCACTGATAAAGGGCTAGAGGATAAGCAACAACAGCACATAGAAAATATTGAGCTATAGTCTTTAACTGTGCACTTTCAAAGTGTACCAACGAGGTAGGTGTGTCTAACTCTTACACACTAATTGGGTCAAATTTGACGCGTTTTGACATTTAAAGGGCCCGTATCCTACATTCTTCTTATTTTCTATTCTCTCTTCTGAGGTCCACTTATAACATTTGTATGATTTTATGTACCAAAAAGGGTCAGAATTCATTTTTACTT